GAGCAAGGCATAATTTGGAGTTTAGACAGAAATCCTATGCTTGCTTATTTGAGAGTACAGTATGACCTTAAATGAGCTTATTTCTAAAACCAGTAGCTTTGTAAACCATACTACTGATAGCAGATTACGGCTTTATTTAGAAACTGTTGAGTGCTACTAAGTAGCTTTATTGGTAAGGGACTAATACAGCAATGAGCTGGCAATCTGCTAGCATTTAACAAAGGCATAATTTCTTGTTCTTTAAATGGTCACATCTCACTAAACAACCTCAACCATTCCTTCCCTACAGCGTTGTACACATAAGTTTCCAATGCATGAAAACTTTGTCTCTAACCTTTTCTTTGTATGAGGAGAAGAGAAGAGATCTAATACATACGTCTCAGCTATAGTTAATTGACTCCTATCACATACTCTTCCACTAGTGTTTTTCTGGGGAATATCAGTAATATATCCCTTGCCTCTACCTAAATAGAAGTATTAATATATATTGTGGATTAAGATTCATTTTTATTTCTTAACAATTATGTTGTAGCTCCATACAGTAAATCACAACATAGTCCTGATCCACTCAGCTAGAGCAACCTGACGGGAAACATTACTTCTTTTCATTGCAACACTACTAATTCATTTAAGAGTGTGGTTTAATAAATCTTCTTTAAAATGAAAGATGCCTACTTTTACATGCTGGCAAAGTAACAACCATGGATGACAGTCTTTGTTTGAACAGGAGTACAGTGCATTCAAGATTACATTACACAAATGGAAACTTTTTCTGAGTTATATTATGAGGACTAACTCAGTGTGATTTCATAAATAAACTGCAATAACTTTGTTAACATAGGTTGTAGCCTGGCACTCACTTACGTAGGAATAATGGTTACTGGATTTACTTCCAAACAGCACTCCACTTTCAAACATTTTGATAAATGAAAAGAAATGAAATAAATATCCTAAGTGCACTTATTGTACAATGCTTTCTTACTTAAAAATGAGCTTCACTAAACTCACTGACTTCTATGTAAGCACTTTCAAATGGTATGTAGGAATGATGGCTGGAGACAGGAGAAAGAGTCACAAACTGGACTACCATCAGGCAAAAGGTATCTTAGCCCACAGAAGAAAAAGGGATGTGGGAAGCATTTCAGAAGCAATCGTCGCTAGTTTTCTGGAAAGCAAAAGTAAAAGACTGGATGGGTGCTTTTAAACTTGCAAAACTGATGCCAGCGTTTGAGGTCATCTAAACAAGAAGCATAAACCATGAATACTAATGCTACCTTCATTGTAAAGTTACAGTAATAGAATATTGCAGGTGTTGAAGCACCTCTCCCCTCCTTGGTAATCTAATCTGTAGCCCTTCCTCCTTTTCTTCAAAGGTCATTTCCACATACCATTATAACATGCTTAACAGAAGTCAATGAATTTAGGGAAGCTCATTTCCTCCTGTCTCTCAAGATCATTCCCAACATACCATTATTTTACCATTTATTTTCATTGAATGTTTTAGTTATGCTTCCATGTTGCATCCATCACACAAGTCTAAGCAATTAATATTATAATATGCAATACAGGTAATACATTGCATTAGATTAAAAACATATCAATTATACTAGACTATAATCATACCGTTAATGGAAATTCTATATAATTCTATATCATTATAAACTGTAACACCAAATTGCCAGATTGATCTCATTTCAAGTACATTGCTCATCTTCACTTTACTCCCCAAGTGCATGCTTGAAATGCTGTTTGTAAGAGTTTCCTGAATACTAGGAGTGAAAGATGGAGGTCTTACATTGCACAGGGGAGCTTGTACTCATCTCTGAGTTACCTCTAATTGCACCTTAGGATTCAGTTTATTCATAGGATAAAAAATGATTGAGAAGAGGTACTTTAATAAGTGTTTCTCCCCTTGGCAGCTTTAAGATATGTGGACTCCTAAAACTGTTCTAAAACATTTCTTTAGTGTGCCTCATTAAAGTAGCTTTTCTGAAGTTCATGCCAAACCACATCAAAACCACACTTGCTTTAAAGAGGCATTATATTTGCACTCGTTTGCATTCTGAATTTCTGCTTCTGTCAGTTTTGAAGCATTGCACAGCCTTAATATAAAGTCAAACTTACTTTGAATGATTAGAGTCTCATAGTCTTTCAGCCTACAAAAACACCACAAAATCAAATCATAATCAAACTGTAGTAAAATTCCTGGTAACCTTCAGTAAAAGCTGTTTGGGATAAAAATACTTTTTTATATAACTTTAAGTCTCATATAACTTGCTGATACCATGCTAACAAACAAAAAAAAAACTACCTTGAGAATTCAGATAATCAATCCCAGGTTTTCTGATGTACTCCCCAAGAATCTTGATCCAGAGAGGCTGAGTGTTACAATTGAGGTTAGAGAGATACAGGTAGAGATTTACTCCTTTGGATAAGCATGACCCTTGCAGAAATAGCTCAGGACAGGTAAGAGGATTATTGTAAAAGGAATTAGCAAACTCTGTTAATTAGTTCAGACCAATGAAATGTGAGGCTTTCCAAAGATTTAAAGGATTTAATACGTAGGTACAGTTATGGAGAGAATCCAACCAGAATTCCGGATGAACCCTAAATATTGGGGTTAGCAGTAGGCTAAACAATCCGGAAGTCCAATAGTTGAAAAATTGATGGGATGTGTGGCACCACTATTAATATCTCTAAGAATATGATTCACATATGGATTAAGTACACTTTCCCAATGAGCTGCTATTGAATTGGTATTATAACTTTCATTTTCTTATTAGATATTGAGGCCTGCAGTATTTCATACTTAGGGTTAATGCCAATTTTGTTAACTTGTCTGTTGTCAAGTTTTTTTCTGTTTCTGCTTTTGGAATCAGTGCTAAAGGAGTGAGAGAGGCAGAAATGAATATGATACTAATTTTTCAAGTTCTTTTTGTTTTCAAAACAATTTTTATTAGTTTTCCATTTTACACCAACATAGCTTAAGAACCCATGTGGAAACTTGGTGATCCATTTTTTAAAAACAAACAATAACATAGTAAATATATACCCATTATTTCTTAAATATTTCCTTCTCTATCTACCGTATATGCCGGTGTATAAGACGACTTCCGGAAGCACTAAACTCGGCGCCAAAGACGGGGGTTATCTTATACGCCGAGTTGTCTTATACGCCGGAAATACTGGTAGTTTCCGCCGTATAAGACGACGTTCTAGGAAGGCGACTCAGCGATAAAGACGGGGGTAGTCTTATACGCCGGGTCGCCTAATACGCCGGCATATATGGTATATAGAATATTATAATCAGATTAGTACATTTTCATTGAATTCATTCATTACTATGTCTAACCATCAACTACATTAATCAATAATAATAAAAAATTAATCTATAAAAACCTATATTTCTTCTCACATTTAACTTAGGCTTAGTGAACTCCATTTATTTAAAGACATTATAATCAAGTCAATATCTAAAACCAATTCATTCACTAATGTAACATTTCATCCAAATCATATAATTAAAAATAGACTAACATTCTCTATCTATTTATATTGTTATAGACTCATTAAAACCTTTCTAAAACAAATTTTCATTGATATATCACTCTATATAAATTTCATTAATCAATAAGAGTTTACAAATTCATTATCCATCCCAAAGATCCTGTATCATGCTTTCTTAATTTTACAAATATTTAATCTTAAACTAACATATTCATTTACTATTCAGGTGCCCCAAGTGTTTTTTTATTTAAGCATTATTAACTCCAAAAGTAAATTCTTTTCTTTCTCACCAATCTTCTATTGTTTTTCATTATTTCTCCAAATCTCCAATAATTAATTCCATCATTTCCCATATTTCAGTTCTTTTCTCATTATACCATCTCTAATATTAAAAACATATAAAGCCCTTTTAACAAAGTCCAAGTCCAAATCAGTCCAGATCGCTATAAGGCCATTGCCACGTTACTATAATCAGATTTAATATTTATATCTTATTCTGGGTTTCTTTCTAATCCAAACAGATTTCCTTAATCAGGCCTCCACCTGCCACACTATACATTCCGAAAAGAAAGCTCCCATTGTGCATTTGGTTAAATTAATATAAAAGTTATAGTTAGTCTGAATGGTTCGTGGCAGAACATCATTTCTCCTTTCTTTTAACATTGAATAAATTTCACTTAAAGTCCCTTCTTTTATAGCGTCCTCTTTGATCACATGTTTCTCTTCTTCCCATATTTTTTCTTCTATCTCAAGTTTAAATGGCATCTGCAGATCAACTTGTCTTTCTAAAGTAAGATCATCTAGTTCCTTATCATAAGTCCTTTGTCCATTAATGTCAAATCCTTTTTCCAAAATCAATTGATTGTCCAACTGTGAATTTACTTCTTCCACCTCGGTAAGCAAAGTACAAGCCTCTTGTGTATAAACTGATGTTTCACTTAGTCCTTGTCTTTTTCCTTGTCGATACCAAGAAATGTCCTTTGAACAAGCAATTATCTCATCCATATTTTCCAAAATTTTAGCCAAAATATACTTATAAAGAACTACACCGGTGTCCTCCATTTTTATTATCTTTCAAGTCCTTATCCTTTTAGAGGAGACTATATTTAAAAAGCGATCACTATATCCATCTCTTCCCAGTTTCCTCGCCTTTTTCCTTTGTACAAAATGAAAGCCTTTCCAGTGAAGAAAAGATAGCAAGTACAATGAATACGTTTGTCAAAAGGTGTCCCCCAGAAAGTAATCAGACGTTCAATCCTTCCAGACACCATGAAGGTACAAGCAAACAATGTTCTCCAAATATTATAAAAAAACTTTCTTGAGGCTCCCAATATCCAAAAATAAAATCAACCATTAAAACAAAAATAAATTTAATCCTTTGTGCTTCTCTTCCCCCATTTTAAAAGCCGCTTCACCAGAAAAGGGAGTAATTCCAAGAGAAAAAAAAACTTTTCACAGGCATAAAGAAAGTAGAGGTAAAAGGAAAGTCTCACCAAGTTCTCCACGGTGGGTCCGTTTGCTTAGCTGATCTTGTGGCTTGCGGTTGGCGCAGCTAAATGATCGACCATTTTACTGGATGATCTTTACCTTGTCGGCCCAAAAGAAAGACTCGGTGCAAAGAGGATGCTGCTGCTCCTCTGCAACTACCGAGAAGCCTCCTCAATGGTAGACACTTCTCCAGAGCATCTTTTCGACCTTCTAAACGTTCTACCGGCAGGGGAAACTCGATCGGCAAAGGGACGACTCCCTTTGCTCAACCGCACCGCCACGAACCGGAACCGGAAGCCTAATTTTTCAGGTTCTTTTGACAATACAAATGTAACTTACTATGATGGTGAGTGTAAGAATGTAGAATAAAGATATTGTTTTGAGGTTAATATGTTCCAAAAAGACTATTTGATATCTCTTTGTTGCCACAGCTTCAACCTAGGATTGAATGTAGGCGCCAGACAAGTCAGCCTTTTAATTTTAGCTATTGAATCAGTGAAGATTAGAGGAAAATATATTGCCATTCTGACTGGCTTGCAAAATTGACATCCCCAATGCTGGTTTGCAGCATCAGGAAGGAGATGTTTTGCTCTCCTTAGCCCTAAACTAATTTAAACTCAGTGCAATCAAGATGTATGATACCTGGATAGATGTATTTCTAGGTGATTATTCAGAATTGCACAAATTTAATGGAGACCAGGTAAACTTCAGGAATGCATATAGGGGATTTGGAGTAACAAAAGGATCTCTGTATATATGTGTTTTAAAAAGAATGTTTATTCAAGTTTAAAAATACAGAAATAGAAAACTAATGCAAACTTAAGAAAAATACAAAATATGTGTGTGTATATGCACGCATATATATATCTTAAAGAAGTAAATCAATTATATAGTTGTTTCATTTACCTTACATAGTAAAGTATTTCTATCTAGAAATACAAAAACTTTTCTTCCTATGTCTTATATCTTGAAATAAATCTTTAAAGCATCATCCAAGTTGATCAGAAAAGATTAATCGCATCAATTAATGTCCCACAAATTAAATTCTTATAATCTTCTCTTCTGATTTATTATCTCTGTGTCCTTTTTATTTATTTATTTATTTTTATTGAAAATTTTTAAAATTTTACAAAAAAAAATTTCCCTTCCCCAGACCCTCCCAATCCACCCCACCCCTCCCCCAACCTTCCCAGAGCTGAATACAGGCTTAATTAAAATTTAAAAGAAAAAGTTTTAAACACAAATAAATCATATACAAATTTGATTACAATAATTAAACAAATTATAAAATACTTTAACCCCCATATTTAGAAAACAAAAAGAGAAAAAGAAAAGAAACAAGAAAAAGGAGGGAAAAAAAAGAAAAAAAATTCTTAAACTTTAAATATAAATTATTCAAAAACTAAATAATATTTTTTATATCATATTTATATTGTATAAAATTTATCCATCTTTTCCATACCAAGAGGTACTTCTCTTGCAATTGATCTTTCAAGAAAGCCAATCTTTGCCATTTCCACCAAGTAGGAAACTTTAAGAAACCATTCTTGCAAAGTAGGCAAAGATTCCTTCTTCCAACATTGCCCTACTAACAACCTAGCCGCTGTAATTAAATTTAACAATAATATAGTTTCTCTATTGTCACAATCAGAAACAATACCCAGCAAAAACAATTGTGGAGTAAATTTTATCCTTCTTTTAAAAATTCTTTGAATATTCCACCATATCTTAATCCAAAAAGCTTTTATATTTTTACATGACCACCAAATATGATAATAAGTAGCATCCAAGCAACCACATCTCCAACATTTAGGCTGCAAGTTTGGATACATACGAGACATTTTTTGTGGATCAAGGTGCCATCTATAAAACATTTTATAAAAGTTTTCCCGTAAGTTTTGGGCTTGTGTGAATTTAACATTCCTCACTCAAATAGTCTCCCAATGGAACCGATTCATCAAAGTTTTGTGCCCATTTAACCATACAATCTTTAACTAGTTCTGCTTCTGAATCCAATTGCACTAACACCCCATAAATTCTTTTAATATGGGTTCGTCTTTGATCTTTTATTTGTTTTAACAAATTCTCATCCTCTCTGAGCAAACCCACATTGCAATCTATCTTCCACCTTTCCAATAGTTGTCTATACTGAAACCATGAATAAATAATATTTTCTTGTATTAAGTCTTCCATAGATTTTAGTTGCCAATTTTTGCCATCCCATCTAAGTAATTGTGTATAAGAAATACTATCCATCTTAACTCCTCTCCTTATCCGTTCTTTTTATTTATTAAAACAACAGCTGGTTCATTTGTAAATCCTATATAACATTTTGTCAATATTGTTCTTATATCCTGTCATTTTAAATCCATATCATCCAAAGCAACCTGATTCTTGGTTGTATATACTTCTATCTCTTTTGAACCCATTTTTGGGTTGAACCCATTGAACCCATATAATGGACTTTCTGAAAAGAAAGTTTTGAGTACATTGTTGCCAAATATCCTTGAGTTCTCTAGAGATAAAATACTTTCCTCTATTCTCTAAGTTTTAGTTCTTTCTGGTTGCCTCTAGTAAACAATCTTCAAAGTTTCCACTTATATTTTTATCTAATCACAAATTTATCCTAAGAAAAAATGTCTTACATTTAAATTCAAAATCTTCATTTATTTTAAAAGGATCATAAACAAACTACAGGAAATAATCATAATTATTTCCTAATCTTATTTCCAGTCAATTTGGCCCCTTAATCCATTTAAAAACTTTCCAGCATCAAAGTTCTAATCATCTTTCTGCTGCTTATTTCCCAAAAACAAAGTTTTTTTTTACTTTACTTACACTAAACCTTTTTTACTGAGCACTGAAAAAAAAATCAAGCAGTATAATAAAACTCATCTTTCTGAAGATTCTTAATATCCAAAATGCAATTTACAAGCTGCGTTGGGGAAAAATAGGAGCATTAGTATGTTCACTGCCTTGCACTATTTATAAAAATAATAAAGGTAGGATATAAATAATTAAAATAAATTCCCAATGAAAGGGAGAGAACATGTGAGACACCCAGTATCTCTTTGAGGGTTCTGAAAAGCTAACTCTCCCAGCTCCCTGAATAATAAAACCCCCTGGAGACTGTGATTCTATGGCCTCATTGCAGAGAACATCTGCCTGAAGCACTATAAATTTTAAATCCTCTCAATCTAGAAGGAGTTAGAGAACCTGGTTCATTTACCAGCTCCTCTTTCCACTACAGTTGTCTCATGGAGCTCTCTTTTGTTGGCCGTGCTTCCCGGAAAGTGACTATACATATCTTATAAGATGTTATTGGCTGAATATTTGTTTTGGAGTAAAACTGATGTTAGGTCGTGGCTTAGCCAGTGAGTTTCTCAACTGAGGGTAGACCAGAACTTGCTCTTAGTCTGTTTACTATTACCTGCTCTATAATGATTACACCACACAGACACTCATTTGGCTGCAATACACTGGATGACTAGATGGCAACAGAAAAACATTGTTAACACTCCAAAATAAGCTTTACTCCAAGGCTACCCTTTCTTGTAAATACTTGAGGTCCACTCAGCTTTTTGATGCATCACCTGGGGTGGAGCTGTTCCTCCCACAGGTTAAGACTCATGAGCTTAAGGCTATCAGTTAGGCTGCAGTACTCTGTCTGATTACTAGCTAATTAGCATTAGCATCATCTGTATTATTGTTGAGTCCTTTCTGCAGGATATTGTGCTCTGCAACGGATAGTGGGTGGATGGGTGGATATACTGACTACCCATTGACTACCTCTTTGCTTCTGGGGTTTAGCTTGGGCAGTTTGGTTTGGAGTTTTGTTTTCCCTTTTTTTCAGCTTGCTTAGAGATGAATGGTGCTTGTGAGCATTTTATGTGTGTTTTGGGGTTATAGTTTGTTTTAGTTGCTCCTTGTGTTTATCTACAGTGTTAATATTTCTTTAGTTTGAGGTGAACATCCATCATAGTTGGCTATATCCTTTTTTGGCTGCTTTGTTGAGCTGTTTTCCATCCAATTGTCCAGCTTATTGGAGTTTTACATCTGAAACTGGTGGGCAGGGCATGCTATTGTAGACATTCATGCACAAAGAATAGTTGCCCCTTTGTGGAGATTTGCCTAAATTCAAATTTTTCCCAGTTGCTTTTTTTCTGAAACATTTGATGCTTGTATATGGAGAAATAGAAAAGAATATATGTATCTTAGAACTGAACCCACACTAATCAAGTAACAACCTAACCTCCACAAGAGGAGCTGTGTAAAAACATCTAGATGAGTGCAAATTCATTGCAGCAACCCAGAACACCAGAAAAAGGAAACACACCATCTACCCAATATCTTCCAATAAAATGGATACCCCTGCAACTTTATAAAAAGATCCTGATCACTCAACTCATTATAATATAATCAATATAAACCAGTGATGGCGAACCTTTTAGAGACCATGTGCCCAAACTGCAATCCAAAACCCACTTATGCACCGTTGGGTGCCAGGTGGGTGTAGCCCAGTGCTTCTCAACCTTTTTAATGCGACCCCCAACAAGTCGTAAGTCGAGGACTACTCAACCGGTCATAAGTCGAGGACTACTCAATTGGTGCAGCACCGTTTGCAGAATGGGACTTTTGGCGGGCTCAGCAGGCCAGAGACAGCCTGGACAATTCCTATTGGCTTTTGAAAGCCAATAGAATTAGACTCTATTCAAAAGAGTCTATTCTATTGGCTTTCAAAAGCCAATAGAATAAAAGGGAGTAGCACAGCTAAGGAAAAGGGGGAAAAATGGCGGACTGCATTGTTTGGCGACCCCCGTGAAATGGTCATTTGACCCCAAATGGGGCCCCGACCCACAGGTTGAGAACCACTGGTGTAGCCCATTGGCTGGGTGTGGCCCATTGAAAAGTTCAATCAATCAATTCCAACTTTGCAAGATCTTTTTTTTCCTGCAAGAAGTTGAAATTGACTGATTGATTGAACCTTTTTTTTTTTTTGCACACAGCGGCGGAGGCCTTAAGCAAAAAGGTTTTATAAAACCCAGCTGAAGGCCTAGGACTGGGGCAACAGTGTGCATGCCCACAGAGAGGGCACCCATGCCATAGGTTCGCTACCACTGACATAAACTATGATAACGATCACAATAGCAATAGCAGTTAGTCTTATATACCACCTCACAGTGCTTTACAGCCCTTTCCAAGCTGTTTACAGAGTCAGCATATTGTCCCCAATAATCTGGGTCCTCATTTTACTGACTTGGAAGGATGGAAGGCTGAGTCAACC